ACTGCAAAAGATCTCTTTAAAGTGTTAAAAAGATGTCACTTTAAGGACTAAGGTGCCCCTGATGCAAGCCAGGATGTTTTCAATTGCCCCATACACATGTGAAAGCTGGACAATGAATAAGAAGACTGAAGAAGAATTGATGCCTTTGAACTATGGTGCTGGTGAAGAATATTCAAATACCATGGACTGCCAGAAGGACAAACAAATCTGTCTTGGAAGAAGTACAGCCAGGGTTATGCTGGCTTCATAGAATGAATTAGAGAGTATTCTTTCCTCTTCTATGCTCTGAAATAGTTTGAGTAGTAGTGGTGTGAGCTCTTCTCTGAACATTTCGTAGAATTCTCCAGTGAAGCTGTCCAGGCCAGAGCATTTTTTGCTGGCCGTTTTTTTTTTAATCACCTCTTCAATCTCTTCTGTTGTTATGGGTATGTTCAGATTTTCTATCACAGTTTGTGTTAGTTTAGGTAGGTAGTGTGTTTTTATAAATTTGTTCATTTCCTCAGGTTTTCATATTTGTTGGAGTACAATTTTCCATATTATTCTGTTACGATCCTTTTTATTTCAACTGGGTCCTTTGCATTGTTAAAAGATTTTTGTTTAATATAATCAAATATTTATTACAACTAAGGTTTAATGAGTTAAATCATAAGAATTTTTAAGAACCTTAATATCAAATAACAAAGAATTAGGCTTCTCACTGTTAAAATAACAAAATTTTCTTTAATCACTACATTAAAGAGTTAATTTATTTTTTATGTAATCTGCCTTGAAAACAAGGGTTCGGTTTCTCATTAAAATAAAACTCCTGAGTTAAAACCAAGCTACGTAGTTTTAAAAACTGAGGTTTTTACCTTTAAAGTCTTTGCTTTAAATAACTTAAGTATTGTTTCTTGGTTATCTGTAATAAACTCCTGGTAACTTTAAAACTTCATAGAAAACCACATAGGATTTCTTTTTGTTTTATATTAAAAAAAATACAAAAAAAGTTTATTTAAAATGTTAGGAGTTACATAAAACATGTTGTCAAATAAAAAAAAATGCCAAATTTTCTTTGAATTGGAATTTATATATCAATAACATTTACCTAATACTAAACAAATAAGCACATGATATTACACTGTAATTTTATTATTTCAATTGCAATCGTGGTTGCAACATAATTTCTTTAAATCTAGCATCATCAAGCCAATGGTTTATATAGAGAAATTAACTTTGTTTAGATGTGTGGATATATGATAATCTTAGTAAAGATAAATCTTACCGTGCTGATTTGCTGAGAATGCTTGAACATGGTGTTTCAACAGAAAATGGACAATATCAACTTATAAAAAGGACTATAATATACTAGACATAGATGCTATTGGACTAGATCAGGACTTTTTTTAGAATTCTTGTGTAAAAACTGGCAAAGTTTTTCAGTTTGCTGCTAATCCAGAATAATACAGAGCCTAGAGTAACTACATAAGACTTTGTAAACTAGAAGAAGTATAGTTTTTATGAAAATACTGCTGATGTCCAGTGTTCTAATTTTTAGACGTTGTTCTTTCCCTCTTTTAACATAAAAATCAGTTATTTTAGTAACTAATAACATTATGTTGGTTATAAAATCTCCTATAAATTAAAAGATGTTATAACGCATATTAAAGTTATAATTAAGTATATTCAGAATGTTTTAAATGATTCCATCTATGCTGTTGCTGTTGTTTGTTGTTAGGTGCTTTTGAGTCAATTCTGACTCATAGTGACCTAATATTGTTAAACGTTGTCAATCTTTAATCCAACACTCTAAGAAATGTTTTCACAGTTTAAAGAAGTTTTTAACAACTTAAAACCAAAATCCAAAAATCTGTGTGATACTGTTCCAAAGAATCGTGAATATTAGAAAAACATCAGCTAAAAAAAAATTCCCTGGAGTCTCACTGGAAAAGACTGTATGTAATTCTCCTTACCAATCCTTATGCCATAAAGTACAGAGTTAAAGCTTAAATACACCTCTTCCAATTAAAGAAGACTGTGACTCCTGTTTAGACTGTCCAGCCTACCAAAGGACTTAAACTGAAATTCAAGTATTAAAATGATCAGAAACAGATGACAATTGGTGTAGACTGCTGATCCCAAGACCTCTGGACCAGGCTTGTATTCACCTCAGAACTACTCCTAAAAGCTCAGACTCTTAAACAGACGATTGAAATTATTAGATTGTGCCTTATAATGTTTGTTTTTCTGATAACTCCAATTGTACTAAACCTGGTTAGTCTCCTTCCATGATGACTATTTTACAGAGAAATCCTTAAACAAATTACTCTCTGCTTCATACTTATACCTTTTAAAGTAACTTTGTTTTATCGACTTAGACTCATAGAATAATAATGTATTTGTTTCACCAATTAATAATTGTGGCTATTGTTTGATTACTCATTTTTCACTCACACAGGCTGCCGAGATTCTTAGAATTTTACTTTTAACAGCATTGATAGTTATCATGGAGTTACATTTAAGTTGCCTTATTCCTATGTCAAGAAATTTCCCTACATAGTGTTGGTTTTCTATAACCTAACTAGAGGTCATTATTCTGTCTAATACTTAAAACCTTTGAAGCTATTTTATAAACAAGACCTCATAAGTTGTTAATTTTAACTTACTGCTTTCATGCTAGAATTATTAGATAATATTGCATTAATCATCATCATTTTACTAACTATAATAGCTACTGTTTTCCTGTTAAGAATAGTATAAAACTTGTTAATGTTCAGTCAATTTTGACTCAGCCACCCTGTAGGAGAGAGAAGATCTGCCCCACAGGGCTTCCAAGGTATGGCTGGTGAATTAGAGCTGCCAACTTTTTGGCTAGCAGCCGAGCTCTTAACTACTGCGTATGCCTTCAAATGAGAGAAGAATTTATTTTGAAATTGATATAATTTTTATAACTCTTGCCTTATTATACTTTTTGATTAATATTTTTGCATTATACAGCTTTCCTTAAATACTCTCCTGCTGGTTCTAATAGGTCCCACTGAAACCTAGCATTAGAATGCCAGAAAACCCACTGTTAACGTTGAAGTTCTAACCTCTTTCTCCCAGAAAAGACACACGGAAAAGTCTCTAAATGTTTAGTTACTCACTCTATGTTCCCACAGTATTATCAAAACTTCTCTGCAGAACGTGCAGGAAATACTTCTGATTTTTGTAACAAATTAAGGAATTTAATTAAATGAAGACAGTTCCCCCTTTACAATCATGCCCTAGCTGAAGATTAGCTTCAGCTGGAAAACAAGTCCATCCCATATCCTGATAAAATGAGAATTGGATGTTATGCATCCCTTCTAAGTATGTATTTTTATATAGATGCCATGCCACTCATATACATAGAAGCTACTCATCTCTACAATGAAATAGAGGGATACCACACCCTGGATTAACCATTCGAAATAGTCAAGTTGCTCCTCTAATGTGACCTTGTTCTTTACTAACCCACCTCGACAAGATCACAGAAGTTGAATGTCAAGCTATAGCATGGTGAAGAGGTCCAGTGATAGCCGACTACTGAAAAGTAACCAAGTAGTGCAAAGATCTGTCATAACCAACAGCCACTTAAAAACGACAATGTAAAAGCTCACTAAACAAACAGCCACTGAAAGAAAAACACAAACCGTCAAGTCCACGCAGAAGAAACATTCATTCAAAAAGTGATCAAAGGATGTTCACAGATATCTTTGATCAAAAGGAGGGAATGAGTAAGAGCAAGTAAACTGAGGCACTTGACTAAAGTAAAAATAGCTGCTTTAGATCTAGAACCCTACTTCATTTTGCCTTTTTTTTAATATAGGCAAACCCCTGACTTATTCTTTAAGGCCTACCACTAAATGCAAACTAAAGAAAGTCTTCTTTTCTATGTGGTTAAGCTGAGACAATAAACTGCTTCACAGGAGCTATCAAGACCCTTCCTTAAACAATGTCTCAGGAAGAAGCCTTGATGTTGACTCTTATCTAGGTCTCCTAGGCAACTGCTGACAAGAAAAATTTCACTTAAGCAGGCTGTTTCTAAGACAGAAATGTCCTGTAAACCCCCCAGCCCCCACTTTCAGTAATCCGTTTTGTGTTACTCTAAGTCTGTAATGTCCAATCAAAATAGTACATCTCAAATTTTTTTGTTTTCACCCTTTAAAAGGTCTCTGTAGCTTTGCCATTTTAGAACTGTTTGTTCACTGTTAAATCAGACGTTTTCCCCAGTCTGGACTTTTACTGAACCTTCAGTAAATCTCCTTGCTTTACTTTAACACAGTAAGTCTTCATTACTCTTAGACAACTGGTTTTTTACACACAAAAAAATCAAGACTTAAACATTTAAATGGATGCAGTATCTTCAATGGATCATCTTGTCCTCATATACCCTTCAATACACACAAAGAGGAGAGGAAGTATGACATAGTATTATGAGCCACACACGAGGAAGCAGAAGAATGAGGTTGTATACCTGACTACTGTGACCTGTGGATGCCACTTCTGTTTGCCTGTAAAATGGAGACAGCAGTACTTGTCTTCCCACTAACTAATGTCATATGGTGGAGTGAACAGAATAATGAATGTAAAAATATTTTTGAAGCTATAAAGAACTATTAATCTAAGATAGTGAAAGAATGATATATTCCCAAATCCTAAGAGCCATATATACTGAGTATAAAACGACAGTATACTTTCAAGACAGTTTTGTTGCCTTAAGAAACAATTAAAAATGACATTATAGTCTAATTGCATGTATTATTTTTTGTCTGTTCCAAAAAAGAGGAAAAAATGTTTTTAACAAAGATATCACCTATATTTCTAAATACACAGTGAAACATTTTAGTGCGTGTGCTCAACTAGTATAAAAATATAGTTAAACATATCTTATCTCTTGAGATAAAGTATGAAAAAGTGCTTTATAAATTTTAAAGGGCTATATGTAAACGTTAGCTATTTTTGCCACATATAAAAAAATACATTTTGAGATGGATGTTTACCTTCTCTTAGACGGTCTACTACAAAAGTAAAGCCTGTAGTTCTTGGGTGTAGGACATATTCATATTTCTGAAGTCCATTCTGTTCAGCAAAATCATTACTTCGAGCCTTGCTGTTTTCTAAACAAAACAACAGACCATCAGAAGCCATAAAATAAATGAAATAAGGGGGTAAGTACAAAATTTCTTTGATAAAAATGGCAGTTGACTGTTCTGTAATTACCGAATGCAGTACAGAGTCAAAAGAGAAGACACAAACATTTCAGTCAGCCCTTTACAAAGATCCTTGAGTTATCTACTCATTAGAATCTTTGAAAATTATTAATAACAGCATCCTGAAATTCATATTCAAATCTTTAAATTCTTTAAATGATTTCATAAAACAGTCAATATACAATGAAAACTGAAATGCAAATAAAATACTAATAAGATTTTCATAAAATAGTTTTTTCAATTTTTATTGTGTAATGCTAAAAAATAAAACTAAAATGCTAATAAAACATAAAAATTAGATATCCAAAATAAATTATCAGCAATTTGCCAAATGTATCAGATTAACTTTTTTTTTAACCCAATAATTTAGGCCTTCAATGCAAAGTGAAATATCAGCCTTGCTCAGGCACAGAACACGCTAATATTACTAACCAAAACCACTCCACAACAGAATGGGAACACGATTAGCACATCATGTACAAACATCTGAACATGGTTTGGCTGAATATAGTTAAAGAGTCAAGTATATATTCCAATTGTTGGCAAAAACTTCTTTTTCCATTCCATGAGGTAACTTTACAAGTTCCAAGAAGAACCAAACTCATTACTCAGCAAATACATTTGGAAAAAGTAAAGTGTTCAGAAATTATTTGGCCTCAGCTGTTGGAGATCATGAAATAGCTCCTGATGTCAGCAGATGTTAGAACCTGCAATCCTCAGTTGCATCCTAAAATTTATAGACTATTCCAAGTCATAAGAAAAATACCTATATTAAACATAATTTTCCTAGGAGTAAATTTACTGAGTACTCAAAATCTCAAAAAAAAAAAAAAAAAAAAAAAATCCACACGAAAATAATTCAAAGGACACTCTTACAGAAGGTGCTACATCATTTTATAATTGAAGAAACTCAATCAAAGAATTGAAAATACCCACAGATCCCCAGCAAGTCAAAAGTAAAGGCCCTAAATATAATAAATAAGAAGCCCCTCTCCTATTCATTTGAGAATATTCTAGGCATGGAACTACAAAATCATATTTTATAGATAGCTGAAAGGACCTTAAATAGGTATTAGGAATCCCAGGGACACCACAAAGATGAGTAGTAACTAAATACTCTTCAGTTTGATCTTCTAGTTTATAATGACTTTGGGGATTCTGAAGACAAAATTGAACTCTGTTGTAGAATGTGCATACAAGTATAAGTAGTTCTAAAAAGTACAGCCACAATGGGGGAAGACAGAAGTAATCAGAGATACAGAATAATTAGATACAGATTTTTCCATCCATCCCCACTTCATCTACCCACCCGAGACTCTGCTAATATTAATAACTGTACTAGCATCCCACTTTCTGATCATAACTTCCTCTTGTCAGCTTACTCCCTATAACACCCCAACTCCAGCACTCCTTCACCTCAATGCGACTACAAACCACTGTGCTGCTCCCAAACAAGTCAGGCATGCCGCCACCACCACGGCGGGGTCAGTGCAGTTGCTCTTCCCTTTACCCAGGATGCCCTTTGCCCAGATTTCTGCATGGTTTGTCTGCTTTGTTCATTTGTTCCCTACTTAAATAAAAACTTAATAGAGAGGCTTGCCCTAAGCACTTTATATAAAATAGCACTCCTACTCCTTTTCTGATATTATTCTCTATTTCCTTAACTGCTTTAATTTTCTTCTTATGACTACCTGATATATTTTACCACTTATTAGTTTATTATCTATCTTTCCTAATATAACATAAGCTTAAGCTCCAGGCATTCATGTATCTTTTAAATAAAGAAGTACAAGGGTGTTTAACTGTGTATAATATTATAAATGTAAAAACTTGGAAACAGTTTTTCTTTCCAAGTGACCGAAATGGAACTCAAAATTATGGTAGACTAATATAAAACTATTCAACCTTTAAAACACACATTTTCAACAAATAATGATGTGAGAGAATGCTCACAATAAGTGGGAAAAAGTACAAAGAAAAGTGTAATCCTAATTTTCCAATTTTGTTTAAAATTATATATGTATGTGTGTACATATATGTACATAGATGTCTGTGTGTGAAAATGACCAGAAGATTATGGGGATGGAAAATCTGGCAACAGAAATAGGTGATAGTGGCACAACTTGATTGATGCAACTGGTTTTATTGAACTGTACACATGAAAAACTTCAAATTGGCAAATGTTGCTTTCTATTTTTACAACAATTAAAAAAAAAAAGACCAAGAGCAACGGACCAAAATTAGAATAGTGTTTATTTATGGGCAGTGGGGTTATAGCAATATTTGTGCTCCAGTCTACATTTCTCAAAATTAACATATATTATTTCCAAAACCAGTGCCATTGAGTCGATTCTGACTCATAGTGACACCACAGGGTTTCCAAGGCTGTAATCTTTACAGAAGCAGACTGCCACACCTTTCTCCCTTGGAGCCACTGGTGGTTTCGAACTGCCGACCTTTTGGTTAGCAGTCAATTGCTTCAACCACTGCGCCACCAGGGCTCCTTCCATAAGCAAGAAAAAAATTATAACCAACAATAATATGTGAAGATAGAATATATGTAAAGTTACATTAAAATGCACTAGTTCAAAAACGTGCAGGCAAGCTGAATTTAGAATTTAAAGTGGATTATAAAACATTCTCCTTGGGATTAAAAATCTGCATTTTAAAGGTAACTGTGGTAACTAAAACACCTTTAAATTAATACACTTTTTCAAAACTGAAGATATTTTGCTAGCCTACTTAAAAAAAAAACAAAAACAAAAATTTCACCCCTAATCAATAAAACTCTATATAATCCTGTAAAAAGAAATTTTTTTTTAAGCTTCAGAATCATTCTATTTGGCAAACAGTATGGCTTTTGAAAGTTAGTTTTAAAATGCAAATATAATTTTAACTTAAAAAATATTCAACTATATTATGTAATGGTGAGTACTCTGGACTCAAAAAAATATGAAAACAGATGTTAAATTTATCACCTAAAAGAGAAACCTGAGGAAAAAAAAATACAATGAAAAAGTTTTAAAATACATTTTAGAGACTCTGAAGGTCTAAGGTATGAACATGTTAACATTAATGTACCAGAGGACCAGCAGCCCATGAGCTTTTTTTTTTTTTCCCCTTTAGCTTTTAATTACTACCAACTTCTAAAGTTGCCTTTCCTTAATGTGCATTTTGGTATTCCAATATGAAATCAGTCTATCATTTCAGTAAATGGCTTTCTGTACCCTAAATTAGCTGATATTCAACATCTAAACTTAACGATTATACATTTTAAGTATTATAAAATTTAAATACTGCTGTCTGCTTTGTTTAAAAAAAAATATTTTATTGTGTTTTAGGTGAAAGTTTACAGAGCAGATTTGTTTGCTGAGCAAATTTATTGTTTCCCATTCAACAAATTGTACACAAAGTGTTTCATGACATTGGTTGCAATTCCCAGACTGTGTCAACACTATTTCTGCCCTGGTTCCCCGTTTCCTTTCATCTGGTTTTCCTACCCCTTCCTGCGTTCTCACCTTTACTTTTGGGCAAATGTTCCCTTTTGGTCTCATATGATTGTTCCGAGGAGCACGTTCTTTCGAACGTTATTGTCTATTTTATAGGCCTGTCTATTGCTTGGCTGGAAGATGGTTTCCAGGAATGGCTGCAGTTCCATGTCAGAGAGGTGTCTTGGGGCCATAGTCTCAGGGGTTCCTCTAGACTCTATCAGGCCAGTAAGTCTGGTCTTTTTTTTATGATTTTTTTATTCTACATTTTTCTCCTGCTCTGTCCAGAACCCTCTATTGTGATCCCAGTCAGACCAGTCGGTAGTGGTAGCTGGGCACCATCTAGTTCTTCTGGCCTGGAGTCGGGTAGACTGTGGTGCATGTGGTCTGTTAGTCCTTTGGACTAATTGCTCCATTGGGTCTTTGGTCTACTTCACTCTCCTTTACTCTGGATGGGAGGAGACCACTAGTTGCACCTTAGATGGCTGCTCACAAGCTTTTAAGACCCCAGACACTACTCACGAAAGTAGGATGTACAACATTGTTTTTATGTACTATGTTATGCCAATTGACAAAGATGTTCCCATGAGTCTATGGTCCTCTGGCTTCAAGCCTACTGTCTTCATCCTGGAAAGTGTTTGGGGGTGCATAAGAATGCTGTCTGTTTTTACATTACAATTTCCTAATGATAGTTTAGCTCTGGGAATCCATCAACTTGAAATTATGTATTTTCAAGCTTAATCAATATGTGGCAGATATTAATCTCGGTATAATACTCTTTGTCCAACTATTCTTAAAATTTTAACTTTAAAAATCAAACACATACTATATAGTAAGTATATATCTTTAGAGACTTGCCTAGTACATAAAAATTGCCACAGTCCATTTAGCTTAGCTCTGTCTGCAATAGATGAGTCAGAGATCTCCTCTTTGGTATCAATGGTAAATGTTTCCCCAAATACCTTAATTTCCCTTATCAACCTCTTAGGGCTCATTTATTAAATATTTGTATACTTTGCATTTTTCACCTTGAACTTTCTTTTGGGGTAATGGGTTCCATAAATTACTATGTACACAGTATGAATTAATATTTTCATTTGTATGTTCTCCTCTGTTAAGCATTAAAGGTTGCCCCTCTTAGTGTAGTACTGAGGATATGGAAGACAACCTTGCATTCTACCTCTCCATACCATTTGTGATTTTTTATGTTTCAGTTCTGTTCTGTTTCAGTGTGTCTTCCCTTATATAGCAAACCTTCAACTACTGGATCCTTTTCAAATCCCACTGGATCTTTCTTGAAGTAATCAGGGTACTAAAGGTTTTAAAACTTTGCTTTTTCAAGTCCAAAGATTCTACAGAATGCTTCCTGTCCAAGTTCCTCCCCATATTCAGTCAGAGTATTATTAAAATATGGAACTCTGTGATGATGAGTATGAATAATAATGGCCTCCTGAGGTTTCCCATTATAAATTCAATGGGCTGGGAACCAAGAAGTTCTGGGTTCTCTGTGTGTTACTGATTAACCAAGGGACTTCAGGGTGGATCATTAATCTTGTTGGTGTTGAGTTACTTCATCTGAGGAATAAATTTAGACTAGATTACTTTTCAGTTTCTTCATGTTTTAAAATTTGGTGATCCAAACCCAAGCACCTTACCTGTGAGATCAGTCCCTTCTGGGAATATGAGGAGTTGAAGAGGTTCACGAATATGACAAAAATAATTAATCATGTCTTCAAAATGGCTTTTGTCATCCTTCCATTTCCTATGAATGAAGATATAGGCAGCAGCCTGCATAGCCCAACCTAGGATCAATTTAACAAGTATTTAAAAACAATTTTACCTGCCAATATCAATATATTACTGAATACAGTACTTCACTTCTTTTGGTTTTACTAAAAATTATTATCATTTTATTACAAATTATCATAATAAGCATCTCATGATAGACCTTAAATTCAGCACTGAATTTGAGTCAAATGACACATATACCAGAGAATATTCTTAAAAGGATTTGGTAAATCCTGGGGTTTACAAAAATCTCTAAAAGCTCTTTTCAAGTCAAACCTATTTCTTAAAACATCAAGGCAAAAACAATCCCTAATATTTCTCAGTAACTCATCCAAGATTTAAAAAATCCTAACTAAACAGACGCTTTAACTAAGATACTTATACGACACATAAGAGTTATGTGTTGTCAGGTTTACTGTCAGGTTGGTAAGCAAAGGTTCGTTATCAACTCATATATGTAAGCAGGGGCGGATTATCCAATAAGCAAGGAAAACATGGGCTTATTTGTGCCTACTTACCAGTCTGCAGTGAAGTTTAACACATGAAATTATTTACTACAGATTAGTAACTAAGCACAACTAATCCCGTGCTTACCTTGTATTATGAATTGAATGGTGTTCCCCAAAAATGTGTATCAACTTGGTTACGCCATGATTCCCAGTATTGTGTGGTTGCTCTCCAATTTGTGATCTGATGTAACTTTCCTATGTGTTGTAAATCCTAATCTCTGTCTGTGGTTAATGAGGCAAGATTAGGTTATGTTAAAGAAGATTAGGGTGGGATGCAACACCCTTACTCAGGTCACAGCCCTGATCCCACGTAAGAGGAGTTTCCCTGGGGTGTGGCCTGTATCATCTTTTATCTTGCAAGAGATAAAAGGAAAGAGAAGTGAGCAGAGAGAAGAGACTTCCTACCACAAAGAAAGAAGCAGCAAGAGCGGAGTACATCCTTTGGATCCGGGGTCCCTGCGCTGAGAAGCTCCTCCACTGGGGAAGATTGATGACCAGGACTTACCCCCAGAGCTGACAGAGAGAGAAAGCCTTCCCCTGGAGTTGGCACCCTGAATTCAGACTTCTAGGCTCCTAAACTGTGAGAGAATAAATTTCTGTTTGTTAAAGCCATCCACTTAGGGTATTTCTGTTACAGCAGCACTAGATAACTAAGGCACCTTGCTTATTGGGTCATCTGCCATTGCCAGGGATTGTAAATTTGAAAAGAGGTTTTGATTCTGTAGAAAGGTGCTGTGGGGTGGGAAGAGAGACAGATACCAGCCATATCTAGACGCAGAATGTTTGATGTGGTAAAAATATGTGAAATTACTCACTACAGATGATCTGGTAGGAAAGGTAAGCATTGTGCTTTCCTTATTTGTTAATCCACCCCTGTACATAAGCTATCTCTTTAATATTACCTTTTCTGTACTAATCAATCTCTAAATGCAACTGCTATTTTCAATGACAGCCACTTCTTTAGGTTTTATTTAAAAGGGAAAAGATGCAATGGCTATTGAATACATTAATCAGAGCGTACACTTTGGACATATTTGTTGTCTTCAGGGAAAATTAACCCTACTGCTGAAGAGGTAGCTCAAGACAGACATGTTTTACATCACCATGCATGCCTCCCTGGATGCAAATGACTATAACTACTGTGGGACGTACTTGGCTTAAGGTAGCCAATTCACTGTTTGTACAACAGCCTATGAAGCATGGAAACCTTGGCCCAAACTTAGTAATTATCTACGCCAACCAAATGTTCTCCCTCAGAAATCTGACCAAATAATTGATATTATAAAGTCAAAAGGATGGATAAAAAGCAGATACGGAGACAGGAGCAGCTTAGGCAATTTAAAGATAGCATCCTGTGATGATGATCTACAAACTCTTGCTGCTGAGGTGCCTAAAGCTGATTTTAATTCAGAACAAAAGCCAGTTTTAGAATCCACAAATTGTGGCCTGCCTATGGATCTACTTTTTGGATATCCAAAAAAGTCCATCTCCCTTACTGCCATGTGTATCTTTATAACACACTTTCATTATTTCAGCTAGCAAGGACAAGTGGTGGTTCTTTGCAAAAAACACAAATAAAAATAGCTATCATCATTTAGTAAATACGGTACTACTCTAAGAATATACTGAGTAATTATAAAACCATTTGTTTATGATTTAAAACAAAAAATTGCAGGACTTCCTTTGCTTTGAGTCAATTAAAAACTATAATACTATATTCTACACATTTAAATGAGCAGGTACCAAAAAATCCTCTTTAGTATAGGTCTTGCCAATATTCATCCAATTACTACTTATCAACTATATCATCAGCCATATCACCAACACTGGACTTGAACCCAAACGTGTGTCTTCCCACATATCTTTCCTTCACCTGAGGACATTCAGGCCCACAGTACAGTACACGAAGGCACTGTGGCTCTGGATGAGATTGTCTGAGTTAGAATCATAGCTGTAACCACATACCAGCTGTTCGGCCCAAAACCCTTGTTCCTCATTGCCCCCAAATATGAAATAAGCATAATGTTGTAATAGTATTTACCCCATAAGGGTTGTGGCAAGAAGTAAATAATGTAACAGGATTTAACACAGTGTTCAATAAATAAGAGCTATTATCATTTCAGGAGGTACCAGAACCGATTGTACCGAAGGAAGAAGTCCAAGCTGCACTGAAGGCATTGGCAAAAAACAAGGCTCCAGGAATTGACGGAATACCAACTGAGATGTTTCAACAAATGGATATGACGCTGGCAGCACTCATTCATCTACGCCAGGAAATGTGGAAGACAGCTACCTGGCCAACTGACTAGAAGAGATCCATATCTGTGCCCGTTCCAAAGAAAGGTGATCCAACAGAATGCAGAAATTATCAAACAATAACATTAGTATCAGAAGCAAGTAAAATTTTGCTGAAGATGATTCAAAAGTGGTTGCAGCAGTACATACACAGGGAATTGCCAGAAATTCAAGATGGATTCAGGAGAGGACATGGAATAAGGGATATCACTGCTGATGTCAGATGGATCCTGGCTGAAAGGAGAGAATACCAGAAAGAGGTTTACCTGTGTTTCACTGACTACCTAAAGGCATTCAACTGTGTGGATCATAACAAGTCGTGGATAACATTGGGAAGAATGGGAATTTCAGAACACTTAATTATGTTCACGTAGAAACTGTACATAGAGGAAGAGGCAGTCGTTTGAACAGAACAAGGGGATACTGAGTGGTTTAAAAATTAGAAAAGGTGTGTGACAGGGCTGTATCCTTTCACAATACTTACTCAATCTGTATGCTGAGCGATTAATCCAAGAAGATGGACTATATGAAGAAGAACATTGTATCAAGACTGGCGGAAGACTCATTAGCAACCTGCGTTACACAGATGACATAACCTTGCTTGCTGAAAGTGAAGAGGACTTGAAGCACTTACTGATGAAGATTAAAGGCTACAGCTTTCAGTATGGATTACACTTCAACATAAAGAAAACAAAAATCCTCACAAATGGACCAATAAGCAACATCACAATGAATGGAGAAAATAATGAAGCTGTTGTCAAGGAGTTCACTTTACTTGGATCCACAATCAACACGCATGGAAGCAGCACTCAAGAAATCAAATGTCATATTGCATTGACCAAATCTGCTGCAAAACACCTCTTTAAAGTGTTGAAAAGCAAAGATGTTACTTTGGGGACTACGGTGTGCCTGACCCAAGCCATGGTATTTTCAATCGCATCATATGCATGTGAAAGCTGGATTAGGCTTTGGCTTAAGAGAATGTTGTGGCTGGTTTGATCTTCTATCCAGATGACTAAAACTTTCTCCATCTCAGCAATAAAGCTGTTTCACTTTCTTATCATTCATGTGTTCACTGGAGTAGCACTTTTAATTTCTTTCAAGAACTTTTCCTTTGCATTCACAACTTGGCTAACTGGCGCAAGAGGCCTCACTTTTGGCCTGTCTTGGCTTTTGATTTAAAGTGAGAGATGTGTGACTCTTCTTTTCAACTGAACACTTAGAGGGCATTGTAGGGTTATTAATTGGCCTAATTTCAATATCGTGGTGTCTCAAGGGATAGAGAGGCCTGAGGAGAGGGAGAGAGACGGGGGAAAGTCCGATAGGTGGAGCAGTCAGAAGACACAACATTTACCGATTAAGTTTGCCATCTTATATGGGTGTGGTTCATGGTGCCCCAAAACAGTTACAACAGTAACATCAAAGATCACTGATCACAGATCACCGTTAACAGATATAATAAGAAAGTTTGAAATATTGTGAGAATTACCAGAATGTGACACAGAGACATGAAGTGAGCACATGCTGTTGTAAAAATGGCGCCAACAGACTTGCTCGACGCAGAGTTGTCACAAACCTTCAATTTGTAAAAGTCGCAATATCTGTGAATGCAATAAGACAAGGTATGCCTGTATAGAACATTTCCAGTATCCCAAAATGCTCTCGTGGGCCCTCCTCGTAGTCAGTACTCCCTACATCCAAAAGGAAACCATTGTTCTGACCTTTATCAACATAAATCATATAAATGGATCACACAGTAGGTACTTTTGTCTTTGGCTCCTTTTGAATATTATTTTGTCATGCATGCTGTTGTGTGTAACAGTATTTTCTTCTCTGCACTGTTGTGTAGTGGTCAACTGTATGAATATGCCACAATTTATTTATACTCTTGACGGAGATTTCTAGGCCATTAGGAATAAAACATGAGTATTCTTGTATCTGTCTTTTGTTGAACATAAGCGCTCAATTCTGTTGAGTAAATATCCAGGAGTAGAACTCCTAAATCGTATGTATATTCAGCTTATGTATATTCAGCTTCAGTAGACAGTGCCAGTTTTTCAGTGATTGTACCAGTTGACACTCCTACCAGCAATAGGTAACAGTTCCAATTGTTCTATCCACATCCTCACCAGCACTTGGTCTTAGGAGTCCTTTTAATTTAAGCCATTTTGATAGTTTTAATTTGTGTAGTAGTTTTAATGTGCATTTCC